ACGCAATTTCAGAAAGTCCCCTGTAGGGCTCCTCTAGTTTTCGCCTGAAAGCTGGCACCACCAAAGCCCAGCCCCTGGCCCCTAAAATCCTTAAGCTGGACATGAGTCTGAGATCTGAGGGTGTCACGGACTTTACGGCTGGCTTCGGGGATCCAGGCCGACGAGGGCCGGCTGAAAAAGCTACTGTTGGAGTTGCTGCAGCCATAGCTTCAAGCATGAAACAGTCTGCATCCCCTCAGGCGGCGGATATTTACATGACCATGGCCCACACTGGGTCTGCAACACTTTTGCAACTTCCCGACTGCAGCTACTCACTCAAACGAAGCTCTGTGCCAACCCTCACTTGCTTGTCGCACGAACACGATCTCCCTCCTTCTTTGAGGTATCACCTTAGCCACTGAGAAGCCGCTGCATGCACTGAACGATTTCTCGGACTCTGAAACCGCTTAAACCAAGGAAACTCTTAGCTGAAAGCTTCACGTCAGTCGCGTGTACGTAGAAACGGGAAACTGATTTTTCGCGTTTGCCGCTTCCCCCATCTGCCTCGCTTGGCAACCACTGCTCAATGGATTTGACATAAACCCTTCCTGCACCCCACTCACAGTCCACTTTCGACTGCGGGTCAAGTGGGGTCACTTGGCGAGGAGGTCAATGGGGCTGGTATCCTGCGAGTGTCAACTTGCGTCACTGTCACTCCACTGTGTCTTGCACGCCGTTTCTCGACACAGTTGCGCAGCACTTGCGCTGCACTTGCACACCCACTTGTCTCACGTGGACTAGACAAGTACATGTTAGCTATATGGTCATGCTATCGCCAACGAGCTCATGCTAAAGTGGAGCATTGGGGTGATGAGGAGGATTTTGTCCGACAGATCGCACGCTAATTAACCTCATAGGGCGTATACCTCCTCAACCTTTCATCTTTGCCTTGCAACCCCCCGCTCCTTTGGGGGAAGACAAAGGGGGTCCCGGTTCAGGCTACATCCTTTTGAGGCTCAGACTGAATAAATGACACGTGAGGACACGGAAATGGAAGAAATGCAGACTGAAGTGATTTTGTCGACACGACGGAGGCTTTGCTGTCAAGACTCGGGGGCGGCCTCGCAAAGAGGGCTCGGCACGTCCCAGGCCCGGAGGCAAGCTAGCCTGACAAGGTCTGTTTGTTTAACTTTACAGGCCTTGCAGAAGAAACAAGCATGTTTGATCCCAAAACAGGTTTCGAGAGGACATCTTTCAAATCTTGTCACACAAAACCCTTGCCTGGCTAGTGCTCAGGAAGCCATCTGCTTTGTCGGACCAACTTGACAAGAAACCTTCAACCGTGCTTACAGTGCTCCTGGAAGTTCACAGGAGCTGGAGCGGCAGCTGGACAGGCAGAAGCACCCGCAGCCTGCTGCACCCAAGAGAAGGTAAACGCTGATGTCCGAGCCTTCAACCGGAAACCTTTCCAAGCTGTCTGTGTTTCCCGATGCCCCCAAAATCTCCCAAAACGCAGGATTAGCCTCCAAAGCACTCCGAAATATGAAGGCTCCATGTCTGGAATATTCTGGAATCATGAGACAACCGAGGGGATTGATAGATGTTTCCAGGCCACGTTGTCTCGTGGTGGCGGAGCTTCCGCAGTCTCATCCTGCATGCCAAGCTTATACTCTCACAACACATAGTGCTCGCCAAGACCTTCGGGCTTGGTCTGGCCGGGAAGCCCCAAATCACCCACGCACCAGCACCCGTCCTCTTTGATACTTTTCAAGAAGTCCTGAGCCTTCCTTCTTGAGCTCCTGTGCCAGAGAATTACAAATTAAATAGCTCATGTGATACACCGCAGCGCAGCCAGAGTGCAGCTCCACTAACCTGATTCAGGCGACTTGTAGGGCACTCGAGCAACGACCCCTTTATTGATGCCCGCGGTGGTTTCTTTGACTTTAAAGTGTGGATGCAGCAGTTGCGGAAACTTCTGTGGGTGCGCTAAGCTGAGAGTTGAGGAGGGCTCGCTACGGCAGCAGCCGCTACCAAGTCCTGGTGCGAAGAGCTGGGTGCAGACGAGTCTTGCCTTGTGTGGGCCCAAGTCTGCACACATCCACATCAGTAGCTTCGTTCCCTGCGAGACCGGTGAGCCACTGTTGCTTCCTTCTCTTCTTGTTTTATGTCGCTGTGCCCTGTTGTAATTTCGTTCTTTGCAAGTGTTCCGGAAGTCCTCACTCATCGGTGCCTTCAATACCCAACAGTTTGGCTATGTCGTCTTCAGCCTGGACTGCTGCAGAGAATGCAAGTTTCTCTTCTTGCAGCCTTCCGGAAATTCCAAAGGATCTCCTGCAGCGCAGGTCTGAAGCCCAGCCTTTGTTTCTGATCTGTGTCGCAGCTTTCTTGAACTTTCTTGGCCTTTGCTTGGGGCTGAAGCCGCGTGTCCGGTCTTCCATTTGTAGTGTTGTTTCGTATGGATGTTTGTTGTTGGCTCCCACCCTCGTCCTCCTCTGCGGTTGCGGCCACTGCCGTCGTTGTTGTTGTCGTTGTCGTCACCATCGTGGTGGTTGTTGTTGTTGTTCTTGTTCACCGAGCGCGCACAGAGACATTCTTTATGGATGATAGATGACAGATGGCGCATAGCCGCACATACGGAGATGCGACTAGACTAAATACTTCATGAGTGAACACATGCTGGCATGTCTACATGCCTGCGTGCATGTAAAACTCACATACATATTTCTCTGGCTCTCAATACGCTTTCCGGACACCCGTGCTCTAGTAGTGGATGTTTGCTGCCGGCTCCGCTTTGGTCGTTGCTGCGCCAGAAAGTTGAGGCTCCGGGCGCTTCAGGCTTTGAATCCTGTGGGAGATCTTGCAACAATTTCAACCATTCAAAGTGACGTTGCAGGGCTTGCTTTCGATGTGACCATGCCTTCTTGACAAGTTCCTGCTTGCCTGAAGAAGCACACGCCACTGTCAAGCAGACAGATTGCACAACTGAAACGCCATCATGCCGAGGATTCGACAGCTTCCGAAGAAGTCCGACATCGCGCAAGCTTCTTTCTTAAATTTTCGAACCGGCAAATTTGAGCCAAACTTAGCATTTCACAGGAAGTCAGGCCTGTACTATGCAATCTTCGGAACAGTTGCAGGTGACGTTGCTTACAGTCTTATGGCTTCGCAATGCTTCGACGTCCTGCAGGAATGGGTCAGGTGTACCTTGCAGTTGGCACGGGCACTCAGTGTCCTTTCACTCAGCGGAGCACATGTTGTCTGGATCAGGACGCCTCTATGCCAGTCAGGAGACACGTGGAAGTCGCATGCCACAGGGACCTTGTTGAGGGTACTTGTTGCGTTCACGGTGTACAGGTTTGGAGGCGTTCCAAATTCTCATCGACCTCGCCTCTTGGCATCATCTGCATCATCAATATGATCAACATCAGCATCGTCATTTTTCATCGACATCCTCACAATCTCAAAGGGAGAGAGGGTGGGGTTTGGGGTTCATACTCAGGAACCACAGCATAGATGCTACATGTATTCTACAGTCATCTCAAAGGCGCTCCGGATCACTCTGAACTTTGCCGAAGTCTCACGAATTCAGGACTCCTCTAAGAAACAATCCGCAGCGTCAGCGCCGCCACGGAACAATCCAACATTGTAAAGCCTACTTCCAAAACCCTTCTAAACCTAAACAAGTTTCAAACTCGAAGTCCCTGACTGGCTCTGACTGCATGGCGTTCTGAGGGGTTTGGGTTGGGTTTTGGGTTCTGGACTAAAGGTGGGTTTGAGCTGATGCTTGGGAGAGGTACCTGAGAGTCGGGCACTCCGGGATTGCGCCCGGAACCGGTCAACATCACCACAACAACCATATTCCGAGTGCATACGATCGTCGTCTGGGATATCACTTTTCTTCATCACGCCATCTCAGCGTGCTGCTGCGATGGTCAGAGACTCCCGCAGCCTGATCCGCGGCAGGCTTCTACTGCAGCAATCCGAGCGCCAGTGCTCGCAACATGTGATCCGACGTGCCAGAGGGATGACCTAATATTGACAATAGTAGTACTAGAATGAAAGCAAACCATCATAATACTACGAAATGATAACAATAGTAATCATCAAAATACAACCACGAATCACAGTAACAATAATAAAACTCTCTCTAATGAAGGTGAATGCGCTTCCGTACCCGAGACCTTGAATGGACCCTGACTGTGTCGGCGCAGACCTCTTTGGGTTTGGGATTCCGGCGCCCGTTTCCGACTGCGGGGTCATCCCCGGCCACGAAAAAGGGTCATCCCCGGCCACCAAATCGCAAGCTTGACCACCCCGCTATGACTTCCGACCGACCCTGCTGGAGGCGGCGACAGGGCTCGAAAACATGCCAAAAAACACGCAAAAAAAGGGGGTCATCCCCGGCCACGAAAAGCAAATGTGCCACGCCTTCTAGGTAAAGCGAACAGCTCGTATTGGTCTGCACTGTTTGAACGGCCACCCTGACAAGCAGAATTTGCACGCCCCTGCAGCGTGTTGGCCGGGTCCACGGAAAGAAATTTGAGCACGTGCGATTAGCGGAGGTGGAGTTCCGCATTTTTTGTGGTGTTTCCGACACGGTATACGGTATATGGATGTATATGGTATCTGTCATGTCGTTCCCATTCCATGCGCTTCGGCGTCTGTGCGAGCCGAATGAGTGCTGGGCAGCCTTCAGCCACAGTTGCTGAGAGCAGCAAGGGATAATTAGTCTTGCCTCAAGGATAAGGCTCAGCGGTCTTCCTCCAACGGAGCCTCTGAACTTGGAACGAGATCGTAGAAACCTGGCACGTGCGAGCAAAAGGAGTTTGTTCAATGAAGTTTGAGTAAGCATGGCTTCGAGCATGTCATGATCATGTGCGAATGCGCCACTTTGAGCCAATGTCTGCAGGTACACGCTCCGATATGCTCCTGAGCCGCCCCTTGCCATCTCACTACTGACGAGCTCACAGGATGGCAACAATTCTTTATGTGAGTTTTTGATCCCTCGCATCTCGCATCGGTCATTGACGTGCGGTGAGCCGCAAAGGGTGATCTGGGGGTGCTGATCCTCGGCATGTCCGTGCCAAGCACTGCATCGCTCTGCATCGCTCTGCACTTTGAAGGGCGGGCCTGGAGGTCGTTCAAGGGCCCCAAGGTCCGGCGCAGAAGCAACTCGCATCTCCGGTCTCAGCGCTCTCAAGCCCTGAGCGGCATTTCAGGCTGGAGAAGCTTCGCTGAAGCTTCGCTACAGGTTACTTGGGCAAAGAGTTCGCATATGGCCCTCAAGTGCGGCGCTTTCTGCACGTAGTCGCGATAGAAGGCAGCCCTGCAGCAGGGACATGATCGGACTGAACACGCTGACTCAGATTGAATCTGAGCTTCGCACCTGGAGTGGTTTTTGTTCATGCTTGCCAGGGCATGCATCTTGTGCGTGTAGAGCAAGCTCGAGAACGAGACGGTCGCTGCCCTGAGAGGGAGCGAGTCACGTGGAAAGCAGCACTGAATGCACAACGAACACGACTCAGTTGAACGATGATATGGCACCCTCACATGGCACCCTCTCCGGGTGTTGAGAGGGCAGCATGCTCTCATGCTCTCAGGCAGCCGCGAGGGGACCTCTTGCGGGTCATCGAGATCGGAGCCGTCGATCTGCCATTGTGCCGAGCACGCGCGAGCACGTCTTCTTCTTTTTGGGACTCATCTAGTGCAGGCTTTGGTGCAGGCTTGGGCTTCCCGATGCTTCCCGCAGTTCCCGCAATGTGGGGCACTTGACTGGTAAGTCCTTCGTCTATGCGCCTCGACGGCGTCACAGATGCCAGCCTCCTCCACCTGCGCGCAGCGAGTGGCGCACACAGGGCCGACATGGCGGACTTCTCGTTTGTCTGTTGAGAGCTTAAACCAACCAGACTTTGAGCAACTGCCTTCTTCTCTTCTCTTCCCCGGATCCATTCTGCCCCAGTTGCGTCCCCTGGTCCCTTGCCTCGGAGCCGGTCTCGACCTGCGTCAAGAAGCTCCGCCAAAACCCTTTGATGCAAAAATGGACTTTAAGATGGATGAGTCCAAGATTTTGGAAGAGAGCGGGTTCTTGCAATTTGTTCTCCCAGGGTTTAGGGTTTAGGGTTTAGGGTTTAGGGTTTAGGGTTTAGGTTTTAGGGTTTAGGGTTTAGGGCACAACAATTATCGAGCAGTGCGTGTCAGCTGAGTGCAGTGTCGCATGGTAATGTACAAACGATGACCCGCAACAACTTTGACAAAACTCCGTGTCTTGGACAACTTTTCAGTTCTGCCTGCTTGTCCCGCATGGCTGCCCTTTGTATCTTCAGGTTCGCGCAGGATGTTACACACAGTTACCTTCTTTCTGTTGTGTAGATTGCCACCTTGCCGGCCTTGCATCTTCTTGCATCATCTTGCACGCTTTTTGTTGCGAGGTTGCCACTAGTCCCTTCCGGGGTCTCGGATTTGTACTCCTTGCGATAGCCAAGCAAGTGATGCTTCAAACAGAGCAGGTCATTTCTAAGCATCCCCATTGCGCTGCACACATTTCCAGCAGGCAGCAGCACCAATTGCCAATCCCACCATACCAGCTTGCATGCTTGTGTCTTGTGTCTTGCCGCATACTGCTCTCGAGCAGAAACAGTGCAGCATGTTTTGTCTTGAAATCGCGATGCACCCTGATATTCATGGTGGACTTTTGGAACAGAAACGTCCTGAGCGCTTTTCTCGGGGGGGGGGGGGAGGGGGCGGGGGGGCGAGGGCTCTGTACACAGGGCGACATGCATACGTATACGTATTTGCCGTTTTTCATCTTAAGTGCTCTGCTTGCTTCCCTACATACCGACACATAAACCGACAGTCTCACAGAGAATGTGGGGCTGCACTGGTGTGGCGCTCCTCCTCTTGGCCAGAATGGGCTTCATGAGTTTCCGAATGCCTGCTGCCAAGAAGGTTGAGGCACCAGCGCATCACAACACAGTGATGAAAGGCCTCCTCCCACTCAACATCGTCCCCCACATACTTTACGTAGGGCGGCCTAGCATTCAAACATGCATACATAAAAAGCACAGAAGCGCATCATGTGTGGCAAGTTACTTGCTACCACGGAACCTTTTGATATTGCCATCGGCCGAGGTCCTGCCAGTGCACTCGGGTGATCGGAACTTGCACAGGCCTGAGGGCTACATTTCGTGATTTGAGACAGCCTCATCCCAGGCACGAACGGCGGGAGGAGCAGCCCGCACTCAAGGCTGGCCTTAAGCGAGCGTTCTGTACATCATGCAGTTTATGTGCATGTTGTGGTTGTTGAAGCTGTGGGCTGAGGACTGAAAGCTTGTAGGTGTCGTGCCCAATCAAAGCCCTGATACCAAGTACCCGCCTGAAGCGAAGTCGAATGTATTCACACTGCCACATGACTTTTCCTGACTTTGCCTGGAACGCATAGATCCCGATCCGCAAGTGCGGATTTGGGTTCTGCAGGGCCTCCCAAATCGCGCACTGGCAATAGGCGAACCACTGGAGCCCCCGAATACAGCATAATATAGCATAATATGCCAAGCCTGGACTAGCTGCATCCAGCCGGACCTTGTTTGGAAGGGAACCATCTGTGGACCATGAAAATCAATGCTTCTAGAAGCAATCGACAATGGATCGTGGTGCGTTTCAATCATTTCGCTCTCCATAGCCCCATTGGTTCTGGGTATTGTGGGGGGTTGCCTCCGTGGACGCTTCCGCGAGCTCATTTCGCGAGGTTTGGAGAAGTTGCTTCTGCGAGTAGGTTTAGTTAGTATGCACCCAGCTGTGCAACCCAGCAGCCAGCGAGCAATAAAGCGACCAAGGACAAAAAATAATGAGAAGTTCACGCAAGGAGGCGAGGCGCTGTAAGAACGCGACTCTCGCTCCTACAAAACTTCAAGGTGTGTATATTATATATATATATACATATATATATATAGGGTTTCCGCTCCGGCGCTCCGTTCCGTTCGGCGTTCCGGCGTTCTGTTCCGTTCCGGCGCCTCTCCCTTCTGGCTCCTCTTACCCGTTCTGTTCCGGCTTGGTGTCCGGGTCTCATTTAGCCACCGGAACACGCGTCGGCGGGCTCGACTCCCTGTAGGCAAAGTTAAGCCGACAGAGTTGGTTTCACGCAGCGACCGAATATGAAAGACCGGCCTGAGTCTGAACCGCTTCTGCTGCGTAGGGCGGATGTGGGGTGTAATGTGTAGTATGATGATGATGATGTGGCTCACGCTTGGAAGAGCTCCGTTGCTATGTTGTTGCACATCTTCGACGGAGTGCCTGGCCCGCTACGTAAGCAGAAGCTGCCTGCAATGCACGGACTCAAAAGGAAAGGCCGCGGCCGTATCAAGACACGGCAGCTTCCGAAGCGCTTCTGCGGAGCGCGCAGCACCGAGATCGCATCAAACGTCGACGGAGACTCTCCATGGTGGGGTCCCAAGCACAACGACGACTCAACTCGAAGTCTCCCACACTTCGCTGCGTATCTCTGTGATTTTTGTGTATAGGGCATGTCGGCGGTTTCTCTAGACCCCGACTTAAGCAGCTCAAAAGGGCGATGTCATAATGTTGCGACTCATTTGAGAATCACAGCGCCGTAGTAAGTTATAACAAATGATGATGCAGCAGCACAGGCGCGCGCTTCCGTGGAGATGTGCTTAAACAAGCCCTTCCTCATGCTTCCATGGCCACGGTCCGTGCAGTTTTGCGACCCGGTTCCTGGACATATTTCTGTACGTCAAGAGTCAAGAACTTTGGTTAAGCGTAAAACACACCCAAAAATACAAACGCTGCTCATCTGCTCCATGCAGACCAGGTCAGATGCAGCTGTTATCCTTGGGATCGAGCTCGTGCCAGTTTGGGGACCTCAAAAAGAGGATGCGCCAATGAGATTGTGAGAACTCTTCTTCCTGCCCTGCTGGTCAATGGCATGAATGGCTAATATCACCAAGACTGCCATAATCATGAGGCCACAGCATGAGCTCCAGCAGGACCACTCCCAGGCTGTACCAGTCCACCGCATGCGCGTAGCCAGTCCTGAACCCTAAACCCTAAACCCTGAACCCTAAACCTCTCGTGTGACTCTGTCCCGCTATGTGGCTCCGTAGCAGTACTCCCAGACTCAATATTATATATACGACTGTACTTTATTGAATATTGCATTATTTAATTCAGTATGACTTATAACCATTTCTGATACTTTTTTATTAGTTAATTGATTTCGATGAAAATGATGTATTGTTGAAATCACGTTTGAAATGAGAAATCTTATGTTGATTCAGTTTAGAGCTTGAACTATATATTTAGATATATTTTTTTATTTCAAGATGAGTTTACATTTTAAAAGTTGAATTAGAGGTTACTAAACAATCTATGATACAACAGTTCACTAAAGTAAATGACTGACTGGAGGCATACTAATGCAACCAAACGTACCGAGTTAGATTGCATGACATTATGGAACTCATATATGGTTGATTACCATGTATATCTTCTACATTATCGAATTAAAAAATACATGGATTAATAATATTGTATTAACTTAGACTTTTTAACATCATGTTTTTGAGTTTATTTAATTGCATAATCCATTCACATAATTTAACTAATAATCCAACTATTTCACTATTATTATATTTGATATACCCATACCGTGCAGGCTCCATGGACGTGTTGATTTTGCCTTTTGCAATCTGGCCGCGTCCCAGTGACTTCCGGAGCAATGTAGCCCGGAGTGCCGCAGATGGTGTAAGTCTGATCAGGCACAGTTCATGTGGAACTCAGGTCTGTAGCACTTCGAGTTTGCGGCATGAAGATCTCGGGATTGTGATGTGCAATTTGGGGGGCTTGCGTTGTTCGGCTGGCCGAGATCCAGCCGCTCTAGTAGGTCTGCAAGCGTAGCTCTGCGCTCACGAAGTCTTCAAACCCCAGCATTAAACCCTAACTTCACTAAGCATTTGCCCTGAAAAGCACAGCCTTGCCCGTCAGATGCTTGGCAAGACCAAGGTCACCCACCTGAATCTCAAAGGTTGCCCCAGAACAACAGATGTGCGGACTTTGTAAGGGCCTTCACATGGCCCTGCTCGGTCAGGAGGATGTTCTGGGGCTTGATGTCCCTCCGCGGTTTAAGGTTTAGAGTTGTGAAGGGTATAGGGCGTTATAGGGTTGAGGGTTTGTACCCAACTTCAACAGCAAACTCCAAAGGCTCCAAGCTCTTTGGCCTGTGGACAATGCCCCGGTCGTGCAGGTGACTGATGCCACAGGCCTTGGACAAAGCAAAGTGGATAATTTCCATTTAATGACCATATACAAAAAGCCTACTCATACAATAGTAGTACTAACCAGAATAAGAATAGTAGTACTTGAATAAGAAAATGGTACTGTATTTACTTTTCTTCCTAGTTAAAGGAAATGATGCTGACCCAATCAAGCCCCCAAGGGCGGCACGATGCCGGCTGCATAGAACCGGCCACACTCTGCGCTCCCGTAGAAGCCCTGGCATCATCCAAGCTTACGGGGCTTTAGATGGCCTTACGTGAAGTCAGGGACTAGGGGAGGCTGGCACCCTTTTGGATAGGCGCAGCATGCTACATGAACATGTACGGCCTGGGCCCCCGAAGATGCTAGCGGTTTAGGGTCTAGGGGGCCATAGGCGCGTCATAACTTGAAGGGGCCCCAAATTTTTCATGAAGAGTTTGAAAGCTCAAGTTTACAGTCTTTGGATTTCGGCTCGGAAACTCAAGACTTCCCGCTTTTCCTCATTTACGGAGGCTCTGTCCATGCAAGCCATGGTCCGAACTCCGGCCTGCCTCAAAACACCCACAAAAGAATTCTAAATTCTAAAACGTACATATTTCATGGAGGTCTGCAAAGCCTGCAAGCCCACGAAAGCCCACGAAAGCCCACCAGCACAAGGAGCAGTTCCGTTGCACCTGCTGCCGGTACAGCATCTCCAGGTTTCCGCCCAAGGCCCCCCTTTGAAAGGGATTCGAGAGGTAGTGCGGTGTAGGGTCGGGGCCCTTCGTTTTGTTAATGCCTCTGCAGCTTCAATCAATGCTACAGTGGCCTATAAAAAAGGGTGGTGGCATAGGGTTCTCATCCGAGCCCCATACTCCATGAGGAAGTACACGAACTGTTTGCTCGTATACCTTGCAAGCAAGCTTCGCCAAGCAATTCCAAGCACTCGGCTTGCCAGCGACTTTCCAGGGCCAGGCGTGTTGTACAGCTTCACAACGAACCTCGTGCACAAAGGTTCAAGACCTTTCCTCTGTCTGGATACTGTGAGACTTCGATACCAGAGTTTGTGTAGTAAAAACCTTAGTGATGGATCAGCTGCTCATCACGTGGGGTTGTAAAAAACACCATTTCAAATCTGTCTATTCATCCGTCCTAGGGTTATCCTTGATCTATTATCGCTTTGCAGGAGTTGGTGGAACAGCGCTGGATGTTCATTGATTCGCAGTACAATCTAGTACTGGAACCGATGTTCGTTCCCGTGCGCCAGCTGGGCTTTCTTGATTTGTAGTACAAGCGTAGTACTGGAACCGGCGTCCCATAGCGGGCCGGAGTAGTAGTACTGGACTATCGCCTGGCTGCCCTGATACAGCAATCAGACCATATTATAAAGATATCGTTTTGTCTTGAGTCTCTCTCGTTTTACGAGTCAGAAGCACTGCCCCAAACGCTTCGGGCAACTCCTTTCATAACTCGAACGCGCGAGGGTTCTTTATACAACCCCACTTGGGGTCTTATTGCAAGTAAAACACGGCCCCTCATTTGGCGATTTCGGTTCAACATAAATCTTAAACACGCCCTCTCATTTGCAGCAAGCGGCATGAGGAAACATGAGCCAGGCTTGCAACAGCGCTCCAGGTGCTCCATGGCGGAGAAAAAAATGGGAGCATTGCTTTGCTCGAGCACGGATGTGAAGGGAGGGCGGAACCTTTGGAGAGAGGGAGGGAGGACGTCCAAAGCCAATTTAAATGCAGGTTTTTGAAGGCCCCAGAAGTCACAAGTGAGACAGAATAGAAGTCACAAGTGAGACAACATAGAAGTCACAAGTGAGCCCTCTACCCTTTCAAACCCCTTGCTGCGGAGATAGCTTTTTGATGTCCGGGCATTGTCTGGGTGTATGTCGAAACAGGTCCCCCGGTCATCAAACACCGTGTAGGTATGTGTGTATTTGTATGTATAGGTGTGTATATGTATGTGTCAGCGTATGGACCTTCTCATTTGCACGAATTCTGCGGAGTGGTGGACAGCAGTTGCTGAGAGCAGCAAGGGATAATTAGTTTTGCCTCAAGGATAAGGCTCAGCGGTCTTCCTCCAACGGAGTGAGCTTTGAACGAGATCGTAGAGACCTGGCACGTGCGAGCAAAGGAGTTTGTTCAGATTCAATGAAGTTTGAGCAAGCACGGCAATTGCCTTTTCGAGGATGTCATGTGCGAATACGCCCACTGTGAGCCAGTGTCTGCAGGTACACGCTCCGATACGCTCCTGAGCTGCCCCTTGTCATCTCACTACTGACGAGCTCAAAGGTTGGCAACAGTTCTTTGACCTTTTGATCCCTCGCATCTCGCATCGGTCATTGGCGTGCGGTGAGCCGCAAAGGGTGATCTGGGGGTGCTCATCCTCGGCATGACCGTGCCAAGCACTGCATCGCTCTGCATCGCTCTGCACTTTCAAGGGGGCGGGCCTGGAGGTCGTTCAAGGGCCCCGAGGTCCGGCGCAGAAGCAACTCGCATCTCCGGTCTCAGCGCTCTCAAGCCCTGAGCGGCATTTAAGGCACTGGAGAAGTTTCGCTGAAGCTTCGCTACAGGTTACTTGGGCAAAGAGTTCGCATATGGCCCTCAGGTGCCGCGCTTTCTGCACGTAGTCGCGATAGAAGGCAGCCCTGCAGCAGGGACATGATCGGACTGGACACGCTGACTCAGACTGAATCTGAGCTTCACACCTGGAGTGGTTTTTGTTCATGCTTGCCAGGGCATGCATCTTGTGCGTGTAGAGCAAGCTCGAGAACGAGACGGTCGCTGCCCTGAGGGGGAGCGAGTCACGTGGAAAGCACCCTCACATGGCACCCTCTCCGGGTGTTGAGAGGGCAGCATGCTCTCATGCTCTCAGGCAGCCGCGAGGGGACCTCCTGCGGGTCATCGAGATCGGAGCCGTCGATCTGCCATTGTGCCGAGCACGCGCGAGCACGTCTTCTTCTTTTTGGGACTCATCTAGTGCAGGCTTTGGTGCAGGCTTGGGCTTCCCGATGCTTCCCGATGCTTCCCGCAGTTCCCGCAATGCGGTGCACTTGACTGGTAAGTCCTTCGTCTATGCGCCTCGACGGCGTCACAGATGCCAGCCTCCTCCACCTGCGCGCAGCGAGTGGCGCACACAGGGCCGAGATGGCACACGTCTTGTTGGTGTTGATAGAACTTAAATCAACCAGACTTTGACACAACTGCCTTCTTCTCTTCTCTTCCCCAGATCCGTTCTGCCCCCAGTTGGGTCCCCTGGTCCCTTGCCTCGGAGCCGGTCTCGACCTGCGTCAAAAAGCTCCGCCAAAACCCTTTGATGCAAAAATGGACTTTAAGATGGATTAGTCCAAGATTTTGGAAGAGAGCGGGTTCTTGCAATTTGTTCTCCCATATCGGACCTTGCCGATGTGTCGGCACAATTATCGAGCGGTGCGTGTCATCTGAGTGCAGTGTCGCATGGTAATGTGGTCCCTACAAACGATGACCCGCAACAACTTTGACAAAACTCCGTGTCTTGGACAACTTTTCAGTTCTGCCTGCTTGTCCCGCATGGCTGCCCTTTGTATCTTCAGGTTCGCGCAGGATGTTACACACAGTTACCTTCTTTCTGTTGTGTAGATTGCCACCTTGCCGGCCTTGCATCTTCTTGCATCATCTTGCACGCTTTTTGTTGCGAGGTTGCCACTAGTCCCTTCCGGGGTCTCGGATTTGTACTCCTTGCGATAGCCAAGCAAGTGATGCTTCAAACAGAGCAGGTCATTTCTAAGCATCCCCATTGCGCTGCACACATTTCCAGCAGGCAGCAGCACCAATTGCCAATCCCACCATACCAGCTTGCATGCTTGTGTCTTGTGTCTTGCCGCATACGGCTCTCGAGCAGAAACAGTGCAGCATGTTTTGTCTTGAAATCGCGATACACCCTGATATTCATGGTGGACTTTTGGAACAGAAACGTCCTGAGCGCTTTTCTCGGGGGGGGGGGGGGGGGGGCGGGGGGGCGAGGGCTCTGTACACAGGGCGACATGCATACGTATACGTATTTGCCGTTTTTCATCTTAAGTGCTCTGCTTGCTTCCCTACATACCGACACATAAACCGACAGTCTCACAGAGAATGTGGGGCTGCACTGGTGTGGCGCTCCTCCTCTTCCAGCTTCTCTGAGTCCGAGGACTCTGTGGATCTTGTGGACCTGGAGACTGCCCTCAGAGTGCTCTGAGGAGAGTCGCGGAGTGTGGACTCTCAGCTTTATGCTGCTCTCTTCCTGGGCTCGCTCTCTGTCGAAAGATGTACATACTCATCTCAGAGAGACACAAACTCTTCTGCTTTCTTGCTTTCTCTGAGCGAACTCTCGGTGTCGCCCTCGGCGGGGCCTGTGACAAGCCTTGGCAAAGCCGGCTGCGCGAAAAAATGAGGTGACGTCATTCTGCTGAGCAAATCTGCGGTGTTTCCCCAACTGGTTTGCCGGCTGCACTTTGCAGAAGCCTTCTCAGAGTTTCCTCTGCACCTTTCTTCTATAAAGGGCGAGACTCTGAGAGATATTGAGAGCGAGCGGCATGATGATGCCGCCCAGGACGGTCAGAGAGCTCGAGGCAAGGCCCGTCCTCAGAGCCATGCAAGCGGGGGAGCCATGCAAAGAATTTATGCAACGCCGCGGAGAGTTCTCTCCCTCACTTTGCAGAAGTGGAACTCTCAAATTTGTGACTCAAACTCTCAACGGATTGGACGCTGATTGCAGGTGGCATGTCTTGCGTTTGGTGTTTCTTGGGGGCTTTGGCGTTCAAGTGTGTCAGTTTGGATATCATGCATCTTGCGCCTGCTGCACTGGAAGGACAGATCTAACTCCATGAGCCAAGAACTGATGGTGCGAACAACAAGCATCTTCTGGGTTCTTGTTCACGAACCTGATCTAAATTGCCATCATAGGGATCTATAGTACATCATAGGGTTTCCTGATTATGGTAACTTAAGTTAAGTTCCTTAACAAGGACCCAGTCTAGAGCCACCAGACTCCAGTCTGCACAAGGTGAAAGCAGCTCTCGGAAACCAATCTCGGCAATCACCCGCGAGGCATGGCCATGGCCTCTCACTTGTGACTTCTGATTTGTCTCACTTGTGAGTTCTGAGGCCTTCCCCGAGAGGCGCCCAACTTGTGACTTCTATTTTGTCTCACTTGTGACTTCTCTGACACACGATTTTGCGACACGTCTCGGCAAAAGTGCTCAAAATCACTTGTGACTTCTCTGCTTTGTGACTTGTCGGACAGAACAATTAACTTGTCGGACAGAACAATTAGCAACCCCTCTCGGCAAAAAGCCCCCTCATTTGCCGACGGGGTTTCATCATACATCCTAAACACAACCCCTCCTTTGGCGATTCCGGTCCAACATAGATATTAAATACACCCCCTCATTTTGCGATTTCGGTTCAGCATATATCTTAAACACGGCCCCTCATTTGGCGATTCCGGTTCAAGATATAGCCCAAACACGGCCCCTTCATTCGGCTATACCGGTTCATCATATATCTTAAACGCGACCCCTCATTCGGCGACTTCGGCTCAACACATAAAACACGGCCCCTCAATGGCGACCGGCGGTTCCGGTTCATCATAAATCTTGCACACCCCCTCATTTGGCTATACCGGTTCATCATATATCTTGGCTATTAATCACGACCCTCTTTTGGCGATTTCGGTTCGAGCAAGTAAACACGGCCCCTCATTTGGCGTTTTCGGTACAACACATAGAACACGGCCCCTCATTGGCGACCGGCGGTTCCGGTCCAACATATATCTTAATCTTGCCCCCAAAATTGACGAGTTCGGTTCAACATAAATCTTAAACACGCCCCCTCATTTGCCGGGGTTGGGAGCAGGCGGCATGAGGAAACATGAGCCAGGCTTGCAACAGCGCTCCAGGTGCTCCATGGCGGAGAAAAAAATGGGAGCATTGCTTTGCTCGAGCACGGATGTGAAGGGAGGGCGGAACCTTTGGAGAGAGGGAGGGAGGACGTCCAAAGCCAATTTAAATGCAGGTTTTTGAAGGCCCCAGAAGTCACAAGTGAGACAGAATAGAAGTCACAAGTGAGACAACATAGAAGTCACAAGTGAGCCCTCTACCCTTTCAAACCCCTTGCTGCGGAGATAGCTTTTTGATGTCCGGGCATTGTCTGGGTGTATGTCGAAACAGGTCCCCCGGTCATCAAACACCCTCCTGCATCTATGTGCGTGTAGGTATGTGTGTATTTGTATGTATCGGTGTGTATATGTATGTGTCAGCGTATGGACCTTCTCATTTGCACGAATTCTGCGGCACCCGATTTCCGGCTTCCTGCGGCAAAGGCACGCTGTTGGCGAGCCATGAATCAGACCATGTAGGCAGGAATCGGCGCATGAGCGAGAACTGCGGGGTGTTGTGTCGACAAAGTGTATAGCTGGACTTAGAAGTTACCATAACAAGGAAGCCAGATTATTTACGACAAAAATCCCAACTGTGGTATAACTTAGATTAACCATGAGAGGACGAAGGCTCTTCAGGTTCAGACAGCAGCTTGCAAGTCGTTCAGCTTCTGCCTTTGCAGGGAATGAGACAAAGACCGCAGGCGAAGCAGAGAGGGAGCTGGGTTGAGCCCGGATATGCTTGCGTCGACAGGGAAAAGTGAATGCTGTACCAAGCCGGGTAGTTTTGCCTCAAGGATAAGGCTCAGCGGTCTTCCTCCAACGGAGCCTCTGAACTCTGAACTTGGAACGAGATCGTACAAACCTGGCACGTGCGAGCACAGGAGTTTGTTCAATGAAGTTTGAGTAAGCATGGCTTCGAGGATGTCATGATCATGTGCGAATGCGCCACTTTGAGCCAGTGTCAGCAGGTACACGCTCCGATACGCTCCTGAGCTGCCCCTTGTCATCTCATTTTTTGATCCCTCGCATCTCGCATCTGTCATTGACGTGCGGGGAGCCGCAAAGGGTGCTCCGGGTGCTCATCCTCAGCATGATCGTTCGTAGCAAAAATAGCAACGCTGCATCACTCTGACTCTGCACTTTCAAGGGCGGGCCTGGAGGTCGTTCAAGGGCCCCGAGGTCCGGCGCAGAAGCAACTCGCATCTCCGGTCTCAGCGCTCTCAAGCCCTGAGCGGCATTTAAGGCACTGGAGAAGTTTCGCTGAAGCTTCGCGACAGGTTACTTGGGCAAAGAGTTCGCATATGGCCCTCAAGTGCGGCGCTTTCTGCATGTAGTCACGATAGAAGGCAGCCCTGCAGCAGGGACATGATCGGACTCACTGAACACGCTGACTCAGATTGAATGAATCTGAGCTCACACCTGGAGTGGTTTTTGTTCATGCTTGCCAGGGCATGCATCTTGTGCGTGTAGAGCAAGCTCGAGAATGAGACGGTCGCTGCCCTGAGAGGGAGCAACGGAGAGAGTCAAGTGGAAAGCAGCACTGAATGCACAACGAACACGACTCAGTTGAACGATGATATGGCACCCTCACATGGCACCCTCTAGAGTTCAGCATGCTCTCGTGCTCTCAGGCAGCCGCGAGGGGACCTCTTGCGGGTCATCGAGATCGGAGCCGTCGATCTGCCATTGTGCCGAGCATGCGCGAGCACGTCTTCTTCGTTTTGGGACTCATCTAGTGCAGGCTTTGGTGCAGGCTTGGGCTTCCCGATGCTTCCCGCAGTTCCCGCAATGTGGGGCACTTGACTGGTAAGTCCTTCGTCTATGCGCCTCGACGGCGTCACAGATGCCAGCCTCCTCCACCTGCGCGCAGCGAGTGGCGCACACAGGGCCGACATGGCAGACTTCTCGTTTGTCTGTTGAGAGCTTAAATCAACCAGACTTTGAGCAACTGCCTTCTTCTCTTCTCTTCCCCGGATCCATTCTGCCCCAGTTGCGTCCCCTGCCTCGGAGCCGGTCTCGACCTGCGTCAAGAAGCTTCAAAAATCAGATGCAAAGATTGACTTGAAGATGTGAGTCCAAGATTTTGGAAGAGAGCGGGTTATTGCAGTTTGTTCTCCCATATCGGACCTTTCTGACCTTTCTGATGTGTCGGCACAGTTATCGAGCGGTGCGTCTCATCTTCTTGCATCATTTTGCATACTTTTTCTTGCGAGGTTGCCACTAGTCCCTTCCGGAGTCTCGGATTTGTACTCCTTGCGATAGCCAAGCCAGAGCCATGCAGATTTGCGTCCTGCAAGTGATGCTTCAAGAAGAGCATGTCACATCCATGTCATCCTCATTGCCCTGGTCACATTTCCAGCAGGCAGCAGCACCAATTGCCACTCCCATCACACCAGCTTGCATGCTTTGTCTTGAAATCGCGATGCACCCTGATATTCATGGTGGGTGGCACATTTGGAACAGAAACGTCCTGAGCGCTCTTTTTTTGGGTGTTTTCTCGGGGGGGGGGGGGGGGGGGGGGCGGTGCTCTGTACACAGGGTGATATGCACATATACGTATTTGCCGTTTTTCATCTTAAGTGTTTTGCTTCCCTACAGACCGACAACTACCGACACATAAACCGACAGTCTCACAGAGAATGTGGCGCTGCACTGGTGTGGCGCTCCTCCTCTTCCAGCTTCTCTGAGTCCGAGGACTCTGTGGATCTTGTGGACCTGGAGACTGCTCTCAGAGTGCTCTGAGGAGAGTCGCGGAGTGTGGACTCTCAGCTTTACGCTGCTCTCTTCCTGGGCTCGCTCTCTGTCGAAAGATGTACATACTCATCTCAGAGAGACACAAACTCTTCTGCTTTCTTGCTTTCTCTGAGCGAACTCAGTCTCTCGAAGAAGAACGCGCCTCTCGGTGTCGCCCTCGGCGGGGCCTGTGACCAGCCTTGGCAAAGCCGGCTGCGCGAAAAAATGAGGTGACGTCATTCTGCTGAGCAAATCTGCGGTGTTTCCCCAACTGGTTTGCCGGCTGCACTTTGCAGAAGCCTTCTCAGAGTTTCCTCTGCACCTTTCTTCTATAAAGGGCGAGACTCTGAGAGATATTGAGAGCGAGCGGCATGATGATGCCGCCCAGGACGGTCAGAGAGCTCGAGGCAAGGCCCGTCCTCAGAGCCATGCAAGCGGGGGAGCCATGCAAAGAATTTATGCAACGCCGCGGAGAGTCCTCTCCCTCACTTTGCAGAAGTGGAACTCTCAAATTTGTGACTCAAACTCTCAACGGATTTAGGACCGGTGTGAGGCTGTGAGAAGTCGGTGAGAATTCGGTGAACCGCCTACTTTTTGTATGCCATATTCATATTGAACATATTGTGCCTTGGAAGCCTGATGTGTGAAGACTGCGTTGAAGAAAGAGAGAGAGAGAGAGAGAGAGAGAGAGAGAGAGAGAGAGTGAGAGAGAAAGCGCGCCAGAGCGAGAATGAGAGGTGTGAGGTGCATGCGTTTTGAGGTGATTCGGATGCTAGGCTCTGGTCAGACCCTATTGACTCCAATGGTCCAAGTCGCCAGGACTTCACTTCTTTCCACTCCTCAAGCCTGGAGGGCAGCGGAGCTCTGCATCTGCGGACTGCGCGCATCTGCACGCGCTTGAGGCCACGGCACCACAAGTCCCGTGGCCACCTCAAAGCGACGAGCGACGGCAACAAACGTGGCAAACCGCAGCAAACAGCGACAACTTACCTACACTTGTGTGTCTGTGATGCAGTCTTGATTAAGTTGTTTTTGGCCTGAAGCTCCTGCAGTGTTCTGATTCTGATCATGAGCTTTGTACCGACGCAGTGATGTTGGTGGCCATTGGTGGGGCTAAACTGATGGCCTCATCTACTCGGAGATGCTTCTTGGCCCTAGGAGCCCGCACGCTCACGAAGATGTTCATCACCGTCGAGCAGGGGATGAAGAGGAGCACGTCACAGCGATGGCACCCGATGATCGTGCCTGCACGCATGCCGACCTGTCAGGTGGCGCCATGTGCACGGAATGCTCTCACATTAGCTCTAATCAGCTCTAATCAGACTCTAATCGACTGTAGAATCTCATCTCAACTTGCTTTTTCATGTCCTAAATCTCAGGCCGTGGCCAGGAAGACCAGGTTGCAGACCACTGAGATCCAGAAGAGCTGCGACTGCAATGCCGGGCCCCTGAAACACCAAGAAAACCAAGAAAAAACGAGAGAAGGAGAGGGAGAGGGAGAGGGAGAGGGAGAGGGAGAGGGAGAGGGAGAGGGAGAGGGAGAGGGAGAGGGAGAGGGAGAGGGAGAGGGAGAGGGAGAGAAAGAGTGCCCTAGTAGAGTGCCCTCCTTCCTCTCTCTTCAGAAGTGCGCTCTCTCTCTCTCTCTCTCTCGCTCGCGCTCTTTCCCTCTCAGAATGTCTCTCTCCGAGCTGCCGGCGGACCGAGCTTCAGAGGAGCTGCCCAACCCTTCGCGGCCACGTCCATCGCGGCGCTGCTGGTGGAGGTCACCGTGCACACGGCCAGGACCTCCAAAAAAGACAATGCAAAAGCGTTGCAAACAGAAACCGCTGATGCTTCCTCGTCTGATCTTGTCTGTGATTCTCCGCGGCGGATACCAGATCGGACGGATGCTTAGACGGACAACGCGCGACAAGCTGCTGCGCCTCCATGGTATCCTGGCGCCAGAATTGCCGCCTCAGCATAGCCGCCCTATGCCGCTCCTCTCTGCTCTGTCGCTTCCCTATTTTCGATTGTTAAACTGTTGTTGTTTGCCTCCATCTTGGTGCAGGCACAACGGGTTGCTCTCAGTACAGGGCGGGGGTACAAGGCGAAAGCCATTTCAAAACAATGGGCCGTGATACTATGAGCAAGGCAGAGTCAAAAGTCCACAAGGACTTATGCCTGACACGCGGCCACGCCAGCTCTTGTGGTTGACAGCCAAACAAAAGGCTACGAAGATTACACAACGGTTGAGGGGCACCGACTGGACTGTCTGCTGCATAGTTTGATTGGTCAATAAGTGCAATGGATGCACAAGGCCAAGCAAGGCTGGGCAGCGTGCCAGGGCTGTTCCACCCAGGGGGGTACGTCTACTGTCTGCCACTATGTTCTTTGCCGCCTGCAGCGATTGCAATCGGAGTTGTTTCAGTGGTGGGCTTTGAGCAGGGACTGGATCACCATCCTAACTCACTTTATTCAGCTTTATTCAGAAAAGATTTTTAGCAGAAGCGGGCCCGGATCCAAGATTCTAAACGCTAAGGAAACTATTTCTGGATTAAAGGCAGGCAAAAGTATCCTGAACATCTTGAATCTTGAATCTTAAACCCAGGCCTGTCTTTATTGAAAAGCTGCATAAATCTGAATAAGGTGAATCTGGATGTCCACGCTGTGATTTTTTCAATCTTATCTGCGACTCCATGCAATCCAACCCACAAATGGTCAGCGAGCTTGAGTGTTTAAACACACACGCACACACATTTCCCCTGATGGTCCCAAGCGGACTGTACGCCTGACGGCCTTGGGGCTGAACGCGAGCGACAGGGAAGGGTGTTCGGGCACGCGCGGCCATTGGCAGAGAGTTGTTTCTCCTTGGAACAAGAGAGGGACAGCCGAAGCGGGGACAGAGAACCAGCTTGCATTGCATCACTCTTGATGCATCTTGGTGCTTGTTGTGAGTGTTGGATGAGATCCGAGTGGTTGAGGAAGCTTCTTGCGAGGTTTCAGGCCAGCCGACGCACAGCAACGCCATGACCGGGTTCGACGCAAAACTCGACCCGACAGCCCCAGTTGTACATTAAGTCATTAAGTCTATTCAGCTCGTTCGACATGCTTCGTATCCGCACGGAAAGAGGGACCCAGGAAGGGACCCAGGAAGGGGCAGGGCCCAGGCGACTCATGCTCTGGACCTGTGGCCGTGGCCGGGTGCCAGATGTCACAAGATCCACAAGCAGAGGCTCTGGCGTTCTGGGTCGGGAGTCCTCGTCTGAGCTTCGAACCTAGGCGTCAGGAAGAACGCCGGGGAGCCCACTACTTCTCTACAAAGAATAGCCTTAAGTTAAGAGCAGTTAGTGATGCCTCCCACCTCCTCGAGCTCACGCTCAACTCGCCCCGGAAAGTTGGACCTCCGGGTGGCCACGATGCAGGTGGCAGATTGAAAGGCTTCGGAGCCCTCTGCACATTAGGGCTCTGCTTCTCTGCTTGCTTCTCTGCTTCTCTGCTTCTCTCTCCCGCCTTTCGCTCCTTTCGCTCCTTTCGCCCCTTTTCAAGCCTCTTTTCAGAGGCTTCCCTTTTTTCTTGGCTCCGAGTTGGAAAGAGCTTTTTTCCGGAAGAAGAAGCATCGAGGCGCGGGCGCCCTGCGAACATCGGCCAATTTCCTTACGGCTGGGGGGGGGGCTTTCGCTAGCGGCAGGTGCAAAGATTGTGGTGTGAATGTGTGAATTCTGGTTTTCAATCCTGGTGTGAATTCCGCATACGGTGCGGTCCTGAACGATGCCGCCTTCGAAGCAAACAGCTCCTGCAGGAGTCCGCAGGAGCACAGGCGCAAACAGTAAACAGATGTAAACAGTGTAAACTGCAGTGTAAACAGCTCTCCCCTGCAGAAGCGCCCAGCGGAGTCTCCTCGCGCGGATGCGCTCACGCAGCATGTAGAGGACCTGATACGAAAGCTCACAGCTCGACTCGAATCTCTGATGCCCCCCCCTCTCCTCCCCTGCTGTGCCATCTGCTGTGGGCTGCTGTTGGGCGCCCCAGCGGAAACGAGCAGCGCCAGAAGCAGGGCTCCGACCACCACCTCACAAGAGAGACCTCCCCCCCCCGGCCTCCCATCTTTTGACTCACTCCAAGTTAGAAAAGAAACTTAAACTAATTAAAGCAATTTTGAAAAGGGGGGGAGTTAGCTTCTGCGGCAAGAGAATGATGTGCTCCGAGCGATGGCTGCTGGGCGCTGGATGAACTTGAGGAAGACCCCCACTGTGACCTGCGGAACAGATCCGAACAGCCTCCCCTGAAAGGCCACTTAGGACTTGCCAGCAGCTCTGTGCAGAGCCTCCGGTCCTGGATCACCCTGAAAGAGAGTGAAGCACACAACGCCTGAGTCAGTGACTTCAGTGACTTCAGTGACTTCAGCGCGCCGCAGTTGACTCTTACGATGCGGACTCGTTAAAGCACAAACTCAGCCCAAAGGCCTGAAAGCGTTACGAGCGTGCCCAAGGCATCACTCGACGTGAGCGGCCTGCTGCATGTTGGGTGAACATGGGTGAACGGAACTCTGCTTTTCTCTTCAACATATCTGGCCTGATCTGGAAGACCTGCATTTTGCTAGAACGAGCATGCGAGTTCCACGGTCCATGACAGATGCTCACAAGTGTCGCAGTCCTGGCTGAACAGCGCGTTTGCAGGCAAAGTGGCCCCAGCCCGCACCACCACGACAAGTGCCACCTAAGGCATCGCTCAGACAGAACTGGAAGAATGAGCGCTAAGCCGGAACGGAACGTCTCAACGAATCTTTCGGGTCTCGGCCGGACCATAAGCGAGGCCCACCAGGGACAGGATGCCGAAGATTGTGGAGCCTGCTCTGGCACTATTTATTCGGGGACAGGCGATTGAATTGGGGAAAAACGTGTTAGAGACGTAAAGTTGGAGGGAGTTGATTTTCGGAACTCAACTCAGAACTTGAGTTGAGAGGAGGTCTCACAAGGCAGTAGCGCGTAGTGGCAGATAGTGGCACCAGGCTGCATTGGCTACGTTTAGGTCGGTCCGGAAGAGTCAGGAACACTGCAGAGAGCACTGCAGAGCACTTCCAAAACGGAAGGGAAGTTGCGGGAAGTTCTAGAACCTCCACATGAACCAACCCTCTTCATGTCGAAGAATGCTCTTGCAAGGCTTTCTTAAGAGCTTGCACACCCCAATGTAGCCCGTCACGAGACACTTCCAGAAAATCTCAAGGAATTCTCAGGAAATCTCCAGAGCCCGGATGGCCCAGAACCCAGACCCCGCCCCCCGCCTATGGCCCCGAGCACGCACCGAATCCGGCTGCGGTCCGTGTGCTTGCCGCCATTCAACTGCCTCTCCGGTCCACTCTAAGCCAAGTCTTGAGCCGCCTTAAAGACTTCGCCGCCCTTCGCTTCTCTCTCACAACCGGCTGAGCATAGCGGCCTCTGCTTATCGGCGGATGAGAGAAGGCAGCTGAAGAATCCAACTCCGATGCCGGCCAAAGCTGAGGACGCAATGCCTCGGCGGGGGATTTCACTCACGAGAAACGATGAGAGCATTTGTGCGCTTGCACCGTTTAACACAGCCTCACCCCATGGCAGCGCCACGAGACCACAGATTCATACCACAAGTAGATGGCGCTGCGAGATGCTGAGAGATTTTTGCACTGGACGTTGAACACTGAGGTAAGCGCACAGCGAACAGTGGCAGTGCTGTTGATATGAGGTGTCTGCATGTGCCTGCCATCTGCAGCCATCTGCGGCTCAGCGGCAGATGATAATATCCCTGTAAGTGGCGAGGAGGACGACCGATGACTGCAACGCTTCCGGAACTTTGCCCATGGCATTGCGAGTTCATCAGAATCTCAATAGGTCAAGTTGCAAAGTGCGGGATGAGGGGATAAGGCTGAAATCGCGGCATGTCGACATGCTGTCACATCTGTTCAAGGTTCAGAAAGGACAATCTGTTTTGCCTACGCGCGCGTTCTCATTGGCAATGCATGGCTGCATGAGCCACGGACACGAAACTGTTTTTGCAAATGATCAGTTTTTCAAGGCATGACATGGCATATGACTATGCAATGACTATGCAGGGCCCAGGAGCCCTTGTCGTGTAGTGCAATGATCTAATTAATGTCCACGCTGCAGACTGCTGCGGCACGAATCGCACTGAATACATGTGATGCCCTCAGAAGGCCCTCCCTCCCCACCCCCCTCCCCCCTCCCCCCTCCCCCCTCCCCCCGCCCTCCCGCCCCCAAACCCGAATTGACGAGATGTCTTCCGCATCTTCAGATTCTGGGAACCTTGTTGGCATGTTTGGGAGAGCGATGTTCGCGCACCTCAGCGCCAGTCGGGTCGTTCCGTTCGGTCAGAGCCCGGGCCAGCACCGTTGGCACCGTCGGCACCGTTAGCATTCGCACGGCGGAGCTCTTTCAGAGCCCGGTGGCTCTCGGCCATTCGGGTGATGTACCGAGGACAGCCTGGATTCACCGCCGGGTGAAACGTGCACTCCGCCAGCGCCTCTGGTCAAAAGGAAACAGCGGAAGAGAGCAGAGCACAAAGAGAGAGCGAGCAGAGCAAGGGAACCTATCTCACGGAGATAACCCTTTCGTAGAAAGAAATACATCCCCTCCGCCGCCTGGCCTCGTCCATTTGCCGTTGCAGCTCCTGTTCTCGCAGAGCCAAGCTTCTTTCACGGTCCGCGGCCAAACGGGCCGTGTAGGTCTCCGGCTCCCAGAGGCAAAGCCTGCCTTCAAACATCTTCAAACGAAATCCGGAGAAGGGCACAGACACACAAAGCCACACAGACACAGAGGCACGCCTTTTATGTAGATATACATGTGTATCTATAAGCAGACACAGACACTGCGCTGCAGATTTCTAAGCGACTGGGATTTCGAGATCCTAAAGGTCTTCACCTTTAGTCTGGCCATGCTTTGCCAAAACCTGCCTGAGATGTTGGAGACGTTGAGTTTGGGCCTGAAGCTTTCTTGGTTCTCCATCTCGCGAAGAGCTTCCCGCAGCTCTTCCACGTGCAGCTCCCGTCGCTGCCAGTCACCGGCACTGAGCTCATGGCTTCCGCGAGAACGACGCCTCGCAGAAGCTGGATGGATCTGAGGTCTGAAGGAAGGAGAAAGTGGAGCCGATTGTGGAGACCTTGCGCGGCATTCGCACTCCCTTCTTCTCTCGGAATCGCTGCGCCTCTGATTCTTGGCAGTGCAAAGCTGCCGCGACCTCTTGCACATCTTTGGTGCGCACATCTCAGGATTCTTGTGCTGGTTGTGCTCGTCATCTAACCGCTCCAACCTCTGCCGCCGCACATTCTCGCAGCGGTTCTGGCGTTCCAAGAAGCGTAGAAATGCGCCGCCGGTACTCACGTCGGCAATGCTCGTGCTATCCTTGACAGCTGAACACTGGCTGAACACAACAGAACAGAAAACGTAGAGTGCAAGTCATTGCAGTCATGGCAGAGAGCACAAAACATCTCATGGCATAAAGAGTGCCAAGGACTATGGAAAAGAAGAACACATGTGATAGAGATAGCGAGAGAGAGTGAGACGGAGCTCTACATAACTCACCTCCGTCTTGTCTGAAAAACTGGTAAGGCTCGCTCTCTCTAGCATACAATCTTAGCTTAAAGACGATCTTTTTTCGCTGCTGCGATGGTCCTCGACGCTCTTCGATCGCTTGTGCTCGTTGTGCTCGTTGTGCTCATTGTGGTCGTTGTGGTCTTTGTGGTCTTTGTGCGGGCCTCGGAGAAGTGAACCACAAGAAGACTATAAATTAGTGAGGGGCGGCAAACACAACTCGGGGGGGAGTCTGTCAAATTTGGGGGGTCACAGATCTTTTGCTTGCTGGCATCTTTGGGGCTTCCAGAGGATGCCCCGTGATAAACGTCTCATGTCGTCCCCCCGTTCGTTTCTCCCCAATACGATGCATTCCGTGCGCGCCTCTCTCCGAGTGCAGACGGTGGAAGACGTTCTGTCCCAGGTAGCTTTGAGCTCGGGCCATGGAGAGCGGCACGGGATTCCTTGATTTGTGGAGGGGTGCATAGAGGATCAAGAATCAAGATTTACAACATCCACGCCCAAACAGAAAAACAGGAAGCGAACAGCGGTGTTGGCCTTTCCCTAAAATAATGGGGAAGTGCTAACTAGAGGGCTGTGAAACGAGCGAAACTGAAGTCTGGCGGCGTGCGTGGCCTCAGCGAGTGAGGGGATCCCAGTGATCCCAGTGATCCCAGTGATCCTGTCCTCCGCCTTGCCCTTGCCCGCCCTGGCCGCCCTGGCCGTTTGGGCCCTTCTGACTCCAAGTGTGTGCTGGACCAGTCTTCGCGCAGGCGCGACAAGCTCAGCTGCAGGGAAGTTCCAGATATGTCCGGCTGGAAGGTGCACTGCGACATCTTCTGCGCCTCGACCGAATCATTGAGCCTTCGAATGTGGAATGCCCGCATGTGCTCCGAGGGGAGCGGCTGGCAAAGGCGGGCAGCAAGGGCGTCGCTCTGAGAAGCCGAGAAGTGCTTGCGCGGCTTGGGGCTCCTGGCGTCTTCGCCTGCGTGTCTTGTGCTTGTGGCGTGTCGTGTGGCGTGTCGTGTGGCGTGTTGTGTGGTGTGTTCTGTGGTGTGTTCTGTGGTGTGGTTTTGTGGCGTGTTGGGCTGGAAGGTGCACTTCGAGAGCTCCTGGAGCTCCTTGAGGCGCCGGAGTCGCTGGAGGCGCTCCGAGCGCCGGAGCTCCCAGACATGGCCGCGCCTCTCGAAGCTCTCGAAGCCGCCCTCCACGCCTTCAGGGTTTGTAGGGTTTTAAGGGTTCATACGGTTTAGGGTTTAGGGTTTCTCGGATTTGGGGTTTCGGGGATTTAGGGTTTCGGGTTCCGCCTCCGCTGCCTTCGCTCCTGAAAGTTCCTCGCTCTTGGCCTCCGAAACCGCCCTCGAGAAGGAAGCTTTCACTCCCCTCGAAGGAGAGCTCGCTTTGCGCCGAGGGCACTCGGGATACCGACGGTGAGCCGGCTCCGAGCCAGGGCGACTCCTCCGCCTGGCACATATCCAGGCGAGCATGCGAGGCGTGCTAGAGGCGTGGCAGAGCGCGCTCATTCTGGACTATCTTCCACCATGCTCGATCGCAACACTCTCAGATCCAGTCAACAACATTCTCTTTTGATTGCGCTACAAGTTTCCTTCAAGAAAAGTCTATACTCCCTCAAACTCCATTCCTCGGCAAGCGCGTGTCTTGCTACAAGCAGGCGGACAAATGTCAAATGTCCACATGTGGACTAGCAAAGCTGGGTTTCCTGGGGGCGAACGGATAAACTCAAGTTGGGGAGGCAAAGATGTAGCAAGCTCGGTGCAGCGTGCTCCTTCGCCAGACGAAGCGCTTCCTCGCAGGTGAGAACTTGAGCGAGGGCAGTGAGGGACAGATTGGAAGCCGCCATGGCGCCGAGCCGCAAGAGCACTTCACATCTATTGACAGGCTGTGGCATTCGCGGCATTCGCGGCATTCAACAATCAGCCGCTTACGGATCTTAGGGTACTTACATGGTCCCTTGGCGTGGGCCCTTCAGAGGGGACCCCTTACCCCTTATAAACCCAACACCCAATACTTCAGAGCCCATGAAGGGAGGTGATGGATTTTTATTTAAGGGGCCATGGAACTACCCTTAGCAAGGAGCCAACATCCTGCTACCTATGAACCTCATGTCGTTGGAGCAGCGTTGCGACGACTTGCAGTCAGCAGGCGCAGTGCCTCGAGCGTGTTTGCGTTGCGGCCAATTTTAAAGCCAACCCTTTAGCGCTGTGGGCTGGCAAGCTTCGTAAGCGCTTCTTTTCGCACATTCTGGCCAGGCATGCTCAAAAGGCACACCCAGTAAGAACACTGGAGCCCGCAACGGACCCATGGGGTCAATGACCCTTCTTTGGGAGCCACTCTCTTTTTTTCCCACCCACCGCTCAAACCGGTGGACTGAAAGACATGGCCAGGTCCATGGCTTCAAAGGGTACGACTCATACGACTCATAGGACTCATAGGACTAGGCTCCTCATCTTGAAGCGCTTTGCCGAGGCGAGGTTGGCCAGGCGAACAGGCTCTCGGTAGCGGATTCCGCCCCAGGCAGAAAATCCAGGACTTGGAGGCGCTTCAATCGTAACGACGCCAGCCTGACAGATTGATTACTCACGGGCACTCTTCGTCTACAGTGTCTCTTCCTGAGACAACTCCGTGTGTACGTGAATTCTAGGCTAGTGTTGCCCGTTCCCGCCTGCGGCCAGAAGTGCGTGTCCGTGAGCGGATCCTTTGCCATGTGGAGGAGAAGTCTCGTCCATGTCAGCCCTTAGAAGTCTCTTTGAGTACGAAAGCATCGCGCTGACCAAGAGCTGCGCTCGAATTTGCGGATTTTTGTTCCCCCTGGGGTCTGGGCTCCGCGTGCGGCCTGGCATCTGCAGTCTGCAGTCCCCGCTTCGAACATGCTCTCATGCTCTCTTCCCCCGAATTCCCGAATTCCGAATTGCACGCGACATCGACCCATTCTCTGCCAATGATGCCAATGATGCTATGGGGTCGGATGAAACGTTGCCCCGAGTCCCCGAGATCGATGTTGGTTTCGCTTACACTTATGTTGGGTCATTGTCACATGTAAGACATCTCATGCTTTGCGGAGGCATGCCTTGCCGGTTCAATACGACATGCTGTTCCTTTTCGGATTACGTGCTGGGGTCAAGCCATCAATTTATAATTTGTTGCGCACGTATGTTCTTTTCACACAAACGATTCCGCACTCTAAAACTCGAGAGTTTAAAAGCTTAACTTCCACAACATTGGTAGCCTTGAAAAGCTCATTGGGTCGCATCGACTACCATTGTCTTTCTCAGGAATGGGACTTCTCAAACATGTGTGGAAAGGGCTCGCTTTCACCCTTCATCTTCTGCCTGTCGTCCCAAAACATGAAACCTCACCCTCCCTCGCCCGTCTTCTTCTCTCTTCATGCCTTTGAAAAGCAAAAAAAACACGTTTTCGCTTCTCTTCCTTATCCGCATGGAAAGGGGGGGGCGGGCTTCGGGGAATCAGCGTCAAGGCACCCTCACATTTTCGGTGAAAAGCCCCCCCCATTCCACCAAAGTCATGCCCCCGTTTATTCATCCTCTGAGTCTCTGAGCAGACCTCGGCATTCGTACCGCGCTTGCAGAATTAAAGAAACGTTCGGGTGTGGCATACGATTGGAACAAGTTAAAGCTGTTGGGGATAGTCGCCAGGGGCTTCCCTGCAGCTTTTGAAGTTGTTACGGCAGAATGGCAGAGCTAGCAGAGCTGCAAGCTCAGCTTCAATCATGTGCGGAGTCGTGCTGCAGCTTGCCCTCTGCACCGTCCATCTACAGGAGTTCTTAGACAGTCTGCAACCGGCAGAAACACTGCGAGAGCCAAGAGGGGCCGTCGCGTCCGTTTATGCACAATGTGGCACAGTATCCCTCTTCTTCCTGACAAAAGAAAGTTATGGGTTCTCTTGCTTCTTGATTTAAATGCAAAGATCGGGTGCCTGTAGCTTTCACGCAGACTGCGAAAACTCGCCATCAAAGAAATATCTCTCTTCTTTCAAAAGAGCTGATAACCCTCATCCTTGCCAGAGAGACAAGGCAGTCCATCCTCTTCGCAAGAAAAGAGGGATGCTTCGTCATTCTCAAGTATTGTTTGCCTCGTCATGTCATGGAAGGAGAGAGAAGACCAAGACGAACAAAACTGAGCATGTAAAGAGAAAAGAGGAAACCCTTTTCTAACCCTTTCATCCTTTCGTTCTCTTCTTTGCTCTGCACTTGTTCTATGGCTCTCAGAACAACTGGATAGTACGTCGAACCCTTTCTCCAAAACAAACCTACTACAGGTCTTTGCCAGACGTTGGCCTGATTTGGCACAGAGACTGAAATAGGGGGAAATAGGGGGTGGGGGGGGGTGGCAGTTGTGGCAGTTGTGGCAGTTGTGGCAGTTGTGGCAGTTGTGGCAGTTGTGGCGTTTCTTGGGCCGTGCCCAGCCTGCACCGCCGACTCCAGGGCCATCGCAGGATCTGCTGGCAGCGGCTTCGCCAAAGCCTCACACACTCAGTGACACTCAGTGACACTCAGTGACAGTGACTCAGTGCTCAAAGAAGGGGTGCCCTGATCTGAATGCAAAAGAAAGAGCGATCTACGAAGAAAAACGAGATGTGCTCTGAGAGTGCTCTCCTTGAGACGACGCGCGCGCGCGCGCGCGCCTGGCGCCACACTTCGACGCACCAAAGCACGACCACGTGCAGGTAGAAGACCCACCTGAGAGCCCCAAAAGCAAAAGCGGAGAATGTGAGTAAATGGAACAAAATTTGTATCCGATGATCCACGATGATCCACGATGATCCTCTCGAATGCCGCTGCCAGTGGCTCCCGCACGGAGCCGCTCGAGGTAGGGTGGATCAACATGCTGGCCGGGGTGGCGTGAAGGTCATGCCGCACAGTCTGACATGCGAGTCACCGGCTGACCTTCCTCAATGGGAAAAGCCACACACACACACACACACACACGCGAAAAAAACAGCCTTCCTGACCAAGGGCCGCGCATCAGGAGGGGCCTTTCGAGAAGACGCCGCGTGAGCCTTGACTCATCTTGACTCATCTTGACTCATCTTGACTCATCTTGAACGACTCAGAACATGTGCGACAAAGACGACACCCTTATTCAACTGTGCGTGGTCTCACTCCGACTCGCAGTGGCAAGACACAAAATGGTCGCTGCAGTGCGCATTCCCCGCCAATGCTCAAAAATGGCATCAAACAAAGACAAGAAAAGTCATCTCATTTTTCAGGATATGTTGCAGTCAAAGCCACCAACGCAATTGGTGCTCCAAACTCCAGATCCACCTGGAGCGGCTCAAAAGAAGTGAAAAGCATGAAAAGTCCGGTGTCTGGGTGAAACCAGAGGAACTGCGACTACCCACTCTGTGACTTCAGAGATCCCTGACCCCAAGAGGACTACAGATAAAATCGAGCCAGCGATGCCGCTGCTTGCGGCACTGCTGCGAGAACCACACGCAGCGCCTGGCAGGCCAAAGTCACCGAAGATCTCAACATACTAGCACGTACTGGCAGCAGCTGCAGCAGCTTAGCGGCTTTGGCGAAAGAAGCTGTGAGCTGGGGCTAAGCAGCGCGCAAGGCCTGAAACAGCTCTGCGCAAAGCCTTGGCAGAAACCGGACAGCGGCTGGACGACGTCCACCTGACGACTTCCAAGGACACCATGTGTCAGGCAAGTTTGTGGGCTTGACTTCTCTGTTGTGTTCAGATTCTGTGTGCACAAGGCCACAACTGGGCCTCAGCTTCATGCCCGTCGTCCTGCAATGAGAGAACGGGAGGAGAGAACGAACTGCCTCAGCTCCTTTGAGGCCCACTATAAGGAAGGCCTAAGGAAACGCTCCGAGCTCTCTTCTCTCTTGCGCGAGGCCAAGGCCTCGTCAGGGGAGTCGATGCCAGCATCCGGCGGTGCGAATTGGTACCTGCCCGACAGAACTGAGAGGAATGTTGAAAACAAAAAACATAGGGGGGAAAAAGAAGGGGGAACGAGAAAATCGGAGAGAGAATCGTTTTGCTTTTTGCAAAAACTTGCAGAAAGACGCTAAACCAACTCTTCCCGAACACGAGAGGAGTCCGCGGCGCACACAATCGGCCTTTGATTCAGCGAGCGCTTCAGTGCAGCGTTTTGGGCCTCTGAGCAAATTGCGCAAATCGAAAGTTTGACTCATGCTCAACACTTGTTCTCAAAACTTGTTCTCGAAGTGGTACGTTGCGTTCAGATCACTCGGATCACTCGCCTCCAACTCGCCGAGTCTGGCTTGCAAGCCTTGGGCTTGCGGTGCCGCAGGCCTCCAATTGGGAAAAGAAAATACAACATCAGGAAAGACGAGAACACCAGGAGCAACCCATAAGATTGAACATGCAACTGATCCTACATTCTCTTGTGTACTCATTTAAGCCTTCCCTAACCAACCTTCTACTGAAACTTACAGCCAAGCAGCACGACGGAGCCCTCTTCCGCCTCCAGCGCCGGCGCCTCGTGGAGCCTTCTTTTGAGCTTTGAGATCTTCAAAAGCGTCTTTCTTTAATCTAAGTGTCTCTGTTTTTCACAAGCTTTGAAAGATCTTGCGAGCAGAGCAGGGCCTAAGTTGATTCGGGTGTGTGTGTGTGTGTGCGTGCGTGCGTGCGTGCGTGCGTGCGTGCGTGCGTGGGTGCGTGTGTGCGTGTGTGCGTGTGTGTGCGTGCGTGCGTGCGTGCGTGCGTGCGTGCGTGCGTGCGTGCGTGCGTGCGTGCGTGCGTGGGTGCGTGTGTGCGTGTGTGTGCGTGCGTGCGTGCGGCGTGCGTGCGTGCGTGCGTGTGCGTGGCGTGCGTGCGCGTGGCGTGCGCGCAGTGCTCGCGTCGTGCGTGCGCT